CAGAGTAGGTGCGGAGGCCAAGAGGCGGGGAGAGGAGAAGGAAGAGGCCTAGAACGCGGATAGGGACTGAACCGCCAGGCGCGCGCCACAGGGCGGACCCGGGGCGCTCAAGGCGCACAGACTTCTGGGAAACGGAGTCCTCAAGGCCTGGCTGGTTTCCCACCCACCTAGCGTCTCCCGGGCAACCGCGGAGCCACGTGGCAAAATCGGGAAGCCTCAAAACTCTGCCCTCCCAGGGCTTCCTAGAGGCGGCTTACCTGTACTGGTGCCATAATTTAAGGTCCCTGTTAATTCCAGATGAATAACCCATCCCAAAGTCAAGCAATTCCTTATTGGGCTCTGAAGAATTGAGAAGTAAATCCGCCTGTAATCCTAGCATTCAGGGAGGTTTAGGAAGGAGGACCACAACTGCAAACCAATCCTGGACAATTTAGCACGGACTCTGTCTCAAAATTAAGGATGATGATGGTGGTGGTGGTGGTGGTGAAGACGGTGACGATGATGATAATGATGATGAGAAAGAGCTGAGAATGTCGTTCAGTGCAAGCCCTAAATTTAATACCTTCTACCTCCAAAATAGGATCTCGCTAAATTGCCTAGGCTGGCCTTGAATTTGCCTCTTGCTTCAGCCTCCCAGAGCGCTGGAACTGCAGGTGTTCACCACCATGCCCAGGTGGATTCTTTTCTTTTCTTTTCTCAATGAGGTGCTGGTGATTGAACCTAGAGCCTTTGCACTGAGCTACATCCTCAGCCCTTTATGTCGCTTTCTTTTCTAACTTATTTCTTTTTTCTTTCTTTTTGTTGCTTCTTCTTGCTGAGCCTTTTTTAAATTTTTTTTTATTTTGATACAGGGTTTCACCAAGTCCCTCAATTGCCCAAGTTGGGCTCCAACTTACCCTCCTCTGGCCTCAGTATCCCAGACTTTCCACGATGCCCAGTAGGACAGTAATTTCTGATGGAGGCAACTGGAAAGTCTAGACTTGCCTGCATTATTGTTGGGAAAATTCCCACAGGAAAGAAAATCGGTATGAAATTTGAAGTCCTATGAATGAGGGTATCAGATTGACAATTATATTACCTCTCCCAGCCAGTGTCCTCACCTAGATTAATAATTTATATTATATATTATAACCATATATATAATTAATTTTATATTATATATAGGATTTTTGATATTACAGTAATAGTCTTTCACATTGTAAGGTCTTTTCCTTTCTTTTTTTTTTTGGTTTTTGAGACAGGGTCTCACTAGGTAGTTGAAACTGACCTGGAACTCACTATGTAGCCCAGTCTGGGCTCGAACTCACAGCGATCCTCCTGCCTCAGCCTCCTGAGTGCTGGGATTACAGGTGTGCGCCACTCTGCCCAGCTATGAGGTATTTTCTGCTTGCTATGCACTGTGTTTTATGTCTTCAAATAAACCTGTGAAAAAGGTATCACAGTTATTTCCAAAATATAGTCAATACATACAGATTTTCTCTGAAAGTCCAATATAGATATTAACTATTTTTCCAGTATATTCACTGCAATTGCAGAATCAGGGCAGGAAAATCTTGTAAAATACAGGGTACATGGGGACCTAGCTAAAAAGAGGCAGGCACTACTATGCAACCATTGTAGGGAATGCCATGGATTCATATTTATTTAAAAATGTGTGCATGCCCCATGATGTGATCATTGTGCATGGCAAACATGTACTAATAAATAAATAAAATATTCAATGATATATTAAGTGGAAAGAGTATAATAGCCAGGCATGCTGGCACACACCTATAATCTCAGCACTTGGGAGGCTGAGACAGGAGAAGTCCCATGAGTTTGAGGCTAGCCACAGCTACATCGTGAATTCAAGTCCAGTCTGAACTACACAGTTAGACCCTGCTTCAAAAAAAAAAAAAGAGCGTGAATAGTATCCTCCAATTTTCATAAATTATATGTATAATACTTATGTGTATGTGCCTGGGGGAAAAGAGATTAAAAGAATATTAACAATATACAACTTAAGGTAAAGCGATCATGTGTGTCTAAAATTAATGTTCCTGTTTTCTAAGTTTTCTACAATAAATATTAATTTCATTTTAAATTCATAGCAAAAAAGAGAAACAGGCATCAAATCCAAACTCGTAAGTATTTTGTAATTTTGTCTGGCACACAAGCAACAGTTGTGAGCTTTTCTTCAGAACTGGCATCATCCTGAAGCAACAGAAATCCTATTAGTGAAATTTTACATCACCTTTCTTTTGTAGTTTACCACAGTGTGTTAGTTAGCTTTCTGTAGCTCATACAAAATTCCTGAGATAAATAACTTGGAGAAAGGAGTTACTTTGGGTCATGGTTTCAGAGGTTTCACTCCATGGTCACCTGGCCCCCTTGCTTCGGGCCTGTGATGGCACAGTGTAACATGAGCAACCACACAGAAGAGGCGGCAGCTCACCTCATGGCAGACAGGAAGCAAAGAGAAATAGGAAGGATGGGTCGCAATATCCCCTTTGAGGGCATACTCCACAATAGCTCACTTCCTTCCACTAGGCCCAACTCCAAAAGGTTTCCTCTACCTCCCAGGAGCACCATAGCCTGGGGACCAAGCCTTTAACATAAGTCCTTTGGCGAACACTTAGGATCCACACCACAAGAGATGACTTGAAATTAAGAGGCTCTTGCCATCATTCCTAGGCAAATCTCATAATTCTGTTAAAGAAATGTGACAAAAGAGAGGATAAGATAAGGAATGGTTTTAACAATATAAGAAGGCTGTGTTGGAATGCTTGGATAACTTGATGTTGTCACCAACTTTGAATGCTGCCTGCAGAAGTATAATGATAAACCAGGCATGGTGGTGCATGCTTATAAGCTCAGTACTCAGGAGGTTAGGACAGGAGGACCACCATGAGTTTGAGGCCAGCCTGAGCTACATAGTAAGCTTAAGGCCAGCCTGAACTAAGAACAGTTAGAAACAAAGGAGCTGAGTCACTCCCTTTCTTTAACTATAAATGCCACACCACCCTAATGATTACCCAGTTTTAAATTTAGGAGCACCCTAATGATTATCCAGGCTTAAATTTAGGAGGTTGAGCAGATTGCTAACATCAGAGAGAGAGGCACCTTGGATTAGTGCTGTCTGATCCTATAAATACTGGAAGCCTGAATTATCAAGGCTCCTTGTTTCCCTTTGCCATTTCTCCCTTTCCCCTTTCTTCCTTTGCCCCTTTTCCTTCCTCTCTCTCCTCCCTTTGCCCTTCGGCCTATTCTTGCTACTGTCCTGTGCTCTTCAATAAACCTGTTACATACTGTGAGGTGTATGCTTGGCAATTCTGTCCTTGTCATACACAAGAACCTGGACTGTTTTTGGCCCACTGAACTGTAACAGAACTACATAGCGAGACCCTGAATCAAAAAAAAAGAAGTCCCGTTACACCTTTGTCTGACTTGACTGTGTCTAGTTAGTGCAGAAACCAACAGGGTAGCCATGAAACTCTTTTACTACATGTAGTGGGGTATCCTGGGTGGATGTGAAAATCACCAAAAAGCAATAGTGGGAAGACTGATGAAATCCAAACGAAGTCTGGAATTTAGCTAAGGGTACTATAACAATGTCAGTTTTCTCATTTTGATAATTATGCTTCTGTTACGTGAGATTAACATCAAAGGAAGCTGGGTGAAGGATACTGTATATGGTAATCCCACCCACCTCTTCTGTAAATCTAAAATTATTCTATGTGGAAGGCAGAATAATGCCCTCCCAAAGAGATCTACTTCCTGATCCCCAGAGCCTTTGAATATGTAGGTTATGTGGCAGAGGGAATTAACATTGCAGAGGCATTGAGGTTGCTAATCAGTTGAATGTAAGATGGCGAGATTATCCTCGATCATTAGGGTGGCCACAGTGTAATCAAAAGAGTGGAAGCAGGAACCAGAAGTCAGGGGGAGGGTCCAGCTAGAAGGTCCAGCTAGAGGGTCCAGGGAGAAGGTCAGAGTGGTACAACAAACATAAGCACCAGGTGTTGCTGATTTGGAAGATGATAAGAGCCTAAGAAGATGGGCAGCCAACTCTAGAAACTGGAAGAGGCAGGGAAACATTATCCCCCAGAAACTCATGTGGCCTTGCCAGTGCCATGAATTTAGCTCAAGGAGACCAAGTCCAACTTCAGACCTACAGAACTATAAGACAGTGTGTTGTTATAAGCCGCTGTTTCTGGCAATGTGTTACAGCAGCAATTGGACACACACACACACACACACACACACACACACACACACTTGAAAATTAACAGTTTAACTAAAAAGAAAACTTCCAAATGACTACCTATCTTCCCAACACATTTCCTATCTGAAGCTACACAATTATTCATGCTTAGAAAGAAAACATGAAAGACAAAACACACCCAAAAAATTCTACTTCACTTTGGGAGGTACAACATTTTTATCTTTGTGGCAGCAGATTTATGACATTTCCAGCTCATTTTGGTTAGATTATTATAAAAGCGAATGAGAAATACATTAATTCACACAGGAAAACCAGTGAAGAAGTGAAGTATTAAGCAGACCATTAGGGGTATTACAGTGTTGAAAACTGCACTCTCAAGTAACCTCTTCATCTTCATTGTGACTTTCCAGAAGATACTGTTACACTCACAAGAAGAACTGATGCCTTTCATGGAAGATATTCCTTGGCCATTCACTCATTCAGTCAGTCACTCAACAAATACTAGCTGGGTATGAGGCACAAGCCTGTGAATCCAGCTCTTCAGGAGGCTGAGGCAGGAAGATTATAAATTCAAGTCCAGCCTGGGCACCTTAGTAAGATCATTTCTTA